AAATTCAAAAAATTAGCAGCTGATGAAGTGACGGGGTCTCAAAAAATTGGCACGTGACTATACTCACGATTCCATCCCTCCTAACAATCGAAAACAAAAAAATAAAAAAGATTATTAATCTAGAGTATTGTCGCTATAGTTGGAACTACGAAAAAGTTGAAAAAAAATTTTTTTCACAAAATGGCGACTGCCTGAAAAAAAACATTTTTTTTACCACTTTTTTTTACTTTTTCGAATTTTTTAAAAATAGTAAAAATTAAAATTTAGAGATGACCTTAGTTCCAACCATAGCGAGAGAGCCGAAATCGTGGGTATAGTCACGTGCCAATTTTTTGAGACCCCGTCACTTCATCAGCTGCTAATTTTTTGAATTTGCAACTTTTTAAATTTTTTTTCTGTATTCTTATAATGTTAATAGAATATAATTTTATTTGTATCACCATATTTAGTGTTTTACAAAACTGTTACCATTTTACGTTTATAATAATTATTTTTTAACCACTCTCTATGTAATAAACTTTAATTTATTGCATCTTCTTAACTTAATTAAATTAGTTTGATTTAAAATATCACGCTCTTTACAGCTTTTATAACAAAGAATAATTTTTATATTACAGAAAATTACTAACTTTACATTTCTGTCTAACTCTTATGCTTAATTTTATCTTTTTTTATATAGCATATATTAATATGTCCGCAGCACCTTGACAATTTTGTTATTTATTGCTTTTTCTTCAAACACCCTCTCGACTTCTCATATATTCTTATAATGTTAATAAATAACTTATAAAAAAATGGATGGTAAAAATATTGATTGCCTTTTTTTTACGTACTTCAAAAATTACTTGAAATTTCATGCTTCTAGACCAGAATACCCCCTAAATAAATATTATTATTTTAGAAAACAAGTGAAGATGATTCTAAAGGAGCGAAATGTATGAATTTATTACTGGAAATACTTTATAAATTTCATAGAAACTACGTAAATGATGATGTACTTAATTCAAGCTTAAATCATCAATGGGTTCGCGAGATGGTATCTTTTCTTTTTCGACTCTCTGGGTAATTGTCTTTTTTTCTTAAATTTAATTATTTTAATAGATTTTCTTATCAATGATTTTATTTCAGTTTCTACGCTACGAAAATGTTTGTAAAAAATTTGCCAGGAAAACCACAGAGTAAATCCATATTCTCTCTCAATTGGATAAATGCGTTTAACTATTACTATAAAAACTGTGAAACCTTGCATGAGGTAAATATGTTAATATTTTTACTCTAAATTTATTATTAATATTCACTTATTTTTATTCAGGAATTTAAAAATAGAGAAGAAGAAATGGCGAGCGCGGATTTTGAATACCTAGTGGGATATCATGTAACTTTACTCAGAAGTAATCTTGATGCTGATGAAAAAATTAAAATAGCCATTAATAATTTAATTTACTGTAAGTATAATTATCTGAATTTTTATTCTTGATTATTAAATCAACTCGTTAATTAATTGATGGTTTATTGTTGATAGTTAATGAAGAGTGTATGACAACCAGAGTAAAAATACCTGATGGCTGTAATATCAATAATGTAGAACCAGAATTAATCAGTATTTATCATTTTACATTGAAAAAACTTTGTTGTTGCATTGTTGAAGCGAAATTTAAGGATCTAGAATTGTTTATTTTTAAGATTTTATTTAGTGAAAAATTTTGGCCTTCGCTGCTTTGCTTCGATATTTTGAAATATTTGTACAGGTAATTAAATTATATTTTTAATGATTTCCAATAATTAGATTAGATTATTTAGATTATTTATTTATTTATTTATGCCAAAGCCTGCTGGCCAAATGGCAAGTAAAAATAAAAAATACAATTGTATTAAGTGTTATTAATTAATTAATTAATTAATTACAAATTTTAAAATATTAATAACAACAATTTTACAGTTATTATAGGAACTCTGATTATAATTATATAAAATAATTATGATTTTGATTTCTCTTACAATCTTATAAACATTAATAAAACTCTATAAGGTAAAAGACCCCATTAGTGGCACTTTTTCTTTCAATTAAAAAATGGTCTACTTGGAATAAAAATTAAAAATTTTTTTGATCTAAAGGTCTTAAAGATTAGAAATAATATATTCATTATTAAAATTAATGATTTCATTTATTGAATAAGTACTAAAATCAAAGAAAGTGTCAGTAATGGGGGTCCCCGCCACTAATGGGGTCTTTTACCCTAGTATTTAATAATAGTAATTCTAAATAAATAAAAATTTTCCAGGTATTCTGAAGGTGAATTTGCTTTGTCTCACATAAAAATTCTCTCGGAAGTCTACGAAAAGTTCCACTTACGAGAGTCGACTAGCCTCGGAGTAACATTGATTAGCAAGCTGATAATTTACGGCTACACATTTATGGGTGATGATAACCAGAATACGTTCCATGAAATATGTCAGAGCCCAGCCACTCTTTTACTAATTTTAAAGTCGCCTAAAATAGTCAACTCACGAGAAAAACTTCTGACAGCCTATAAAAAATTGATGCCAGTCAAGTCATTTGATTTGTCGCAGGCTCACCAGGAATTACGACTTCAACCTTCTGTCAAAAATTGGATCAACTTTGTAATATAAGCTTTTAACTACATCTTCCTTTTATTAGCAGATAATTTATTTTTTATTTCCACAGGTGAATGTATTAACTTTAAAAAGTATCGATAAAATAGATGACAACCCAGATATCACGAGCGACCTTCAGAAAATACTCCAATCAATTCTCGATACACTCAATCAAGTCCACGATGAATTCCAACAGCGCATTATGTACGATTTAATATTGATAATACTTAATTGTACGATTTTTAAAAGATCTACCGACATGAGTGCTTTCAACTGGAATGTTTTGCAGGTAAAATGAAAAACCAAGATTTTTTTTCTTTTAAGAAAATAATTAATCAATTATTTAATTTAATTTTACAGGTTCTCGCTAAGGAGATAGTTCATACGATAAAATTACCCGAGATCTATTTGGTCGATGTCTGTCATTTCATAAAAAGAAATTCAAAGATACTGAAGATACCTTCGGGACAAGTAGATGCGAGGGTTGTAATGATTAACTTGATGTGTTATTTATTGAGCAGCAGTTTGGCTATAGTTCATCAAGAAGCGCTGGAAACCTTCGAGTACATTGTCGAGAAGGGAGCCGACGAAGACTTTATTTTGAAATTAGGCGCAACTATCACCAAAAAGTACAATTTACTGGAAGTTGTTCCGAATTATTTGAAAAAACGCAGTGTCAAAAAGTTATCTCGTGAATTTACCGATATTAATGATTATTTAAAAATATTTACAGAAAATGTGGATAAATTATCGAGCGCTCACAAATGTTTTATTGAAGAAACACGGGAAAGAGAGAAAAAAATAGCGAAAATAATTCCTGATTCTGTTGATCAGCAGGCGAGTAAAATTATTGATGATTTAATAGATGTTATTGATAATAAATATAATTTAAGCGTAAATATCCTCGAAAAATTGACTGAAGCTTGTCTTAAATTTATAGATAAATGATAAATGTACTGTTAGTAGTTAAATAATTTTGTTTTAAATTTATCAACAAGTAGACATGTTCAGTTATTTATTTTGTCCCACTATAACATCTTTATAGTAGATTCATTAATTATTATTTTTACTTCATCCGTTTGAACAAACAATAAAATATAAATATAATTTATTATTTTATATTTTTGTAATAAATATTTTATAATTGATAATTTTTATACTTTTCTTCAATAAATATGATTTAATAATTAGCGCGTTTTATTTTTCACTAAACTTGTACACTTGTACACATAAGGTGTAGGGATAAAGGGGGCGCCATTTAAATAGTTTACTTTTTATTACTTCGATTTAATATTTTATTTAGTTTGACATGACATCTGTGAGGTTAGGTTCATTTGTTTTTATTTGTTTTTTATAAATCAGTGTAATTAAAAAATATGCAGTGTTGGTTTTATTTTCATTTTTTCAATAGGTATCTAAAAAGTGTTAAAAAAAAATTATTAAATAATAATTAACAGCAAATTATCAAAATATTAGTGACATAACAATTTAAAATTTTTCGATACAAATTAACAAAAAATATAAATTTTTTTTTAATTTTATAGTAATGAAATTATTATAAAAAAAATTTAATAAAAAAATTTCACATGTGAAAATTGAAAAAAAATTATTAGAATAAATTTTTTAAAATACTTTTTTGTTATTGTAATTGATTTGTTATAAAAATTAAAAAAATTGACAGGTATCAGCTGACTTTAAAAATATTTAAAAAAATTATTCAGATCTCCAATAAATAATGAGTGGCGGATTAGCACCAAGTAAATCAACAGTTTATATATCTAATCTACCATTTTCACTGACCAACAATGACATCCATCAACTTTTGGAGTCCCATGGTAAAATTGTCAAGTAAGTTTTTTTTTTTTTACTTAACTTTTTCAATATTTATTTACACAAAATTATCTATATTATTAGGAGAATAAGCAAAATTTTGTGGCCAGTGTATTTAAATGATAAAATGGGTTTTAATGGTTAAATTTGGTATCGTTGGAAAAGTCTTCACCTGGGGTAGAGCCTTTTCTTGGTTTCATATCATTTTCACCAATAGTCAATTTATGATGATAAGTATTTAGGCAGTATTCGAAAATACTCTATTTCCAGATACATAATTAAGAAATGACCCTGTATCTCGTGAACTATTGACATTTTTAAAGATATAAGCTCATCCCGATGTTACACTCATCGAGACCTTTCATTTGAGTACCCACATCAATTTTTCATATATTTTTCATATATACATATATAATATATATAAATATATGAAAAATTGATGTGGGTACTCAAATGCAAGCTCTTGATAAGTGTAACATCGGGATGAGCTTATATCTATATATTTATATATATTATATATCTGTATATATGAAAAATATATCAAAAATGTATGTGGGTACTCAAATGAAAGCTCTTGAAGAGTGTAACATCGGGATGAGCTTACATCTTTAAAAATATCAATAATTAAGAAATGAGCTTGTATCTCGTAAACTATTGACATTTTTAATGATATAAGCTCATCCCAGTGTTACACTCATCGCGACCTTTCATTTGAGTATCCACATCAATTTTTCATATATTTATATGTATTATATATATGTATATATGAAAAATATATCAAAAATGCATGTGGGTACTTAAATGAAAGCTCTTGATGAGTGTAACATCGAGATGAGCTTATATTTTTAAAAATGCCAATAGTTCACAAGATACAAGGTCATTTCTTAATTATTGACATTTTTTAAGATATAAGCTCCTCCCGATGTTACATTCATCAAGACCTTTCATTTAAGTACCCATATCAATTTTTCATATATTTATATATATTATATATATATATATATATATATGTATATATGAAAAATATATGAGAATGCATGTGGGTACTCAAATGAAAGCTCTTGATGAGTGTAACATCGTGATGAGCTCATATCTTTAAAAACGTCAATAGTTAAAAAAGTACAGTACAATTTAACAAAAGTCATTATTTAAAAAAGCAAAATTTTATTTATTTATAGTTCACAAGTCACGGCAGTCACATAGTGACTGCAATATTGCTAGTTAGTAATTAATTATTTATTTCTTCTTTAGAGTTACAGTTGTCAAAGATAAAATATCACGTCGCAGCAAAGGAGTCGCGTTTGTGTTATTTCTCAACCGTGAAGATGCTACTAATTGCGCTAAAAATTTAAACAACACTCAGGTAATTTATTTTATAAATATTTTTTAATGAACTTATTAATAAATAATTATTTATAGATCGGAGGACGTACTGTAAAGTGCTCCATAGCGGTCGACAATGGTCGCAGCACGGAGTTTATCAGGCGTCGGGACTACCCTGATAAATCCAAGTGTTGGGAATGTGGGGAATCTGGTCACTTATCTTATTCGTGTGAACAAAATACTTTGGGAGCTAGAGAACCTCCTCCCAAGAAGATTAAACGTAAGAAAAATAAAGATTCCTTGACCAATAATTCCGAGTACTACGAGTCTGACGAAGACGATGAGTCACATCCGAGACCAGCGAGACCTCCTCAGGATATTTATAGTTTTAATGATTACAAAGAAGAGCCGGATGTCGAGAGCTTAAGCGCGGCTATCAGACATGAACAAGAGCAAATCGAGCTCGAGAAATATCGGTACAAGGTAGCAACAGGTGAGTACAACAGTGACCCTGAAAAAGAGAGTGAAGTTAAGCCTAAATTGAAAAGGATTAAAAAAAATAATTACTTCAGTGATGAAGAGGAAGAATTGAGTGATTAGGATTTATGTTAATAAATAATTATTTAAGCTTGTTGATTGTAAATATTAAATTTAGTATAAAAAAATTAATTACATATGATTTATTAAACAAGTTTATCTATTTACATATTTCGAGTATAAAACATTTGTACTGGATTTAAAATAATAAATAATAATTAATTATAATTTAAAAAAAAGATTAAGGCACTAGGAACTTTTTATACTCGATAAATCACTGTTAATAAATTAATTACTTATAGACTGTAACAATAAAAAATTGTTCAAATTGAAATACTTGGAATAACTTTAGAATACTATTTTTTATATTTGCAGAGAGGATTTAAACATTTCCAGCGTTCTTTCGTAATTATCTTTTCTATCAAATGATATATTTTTATTATCATTATTAGCAGAAGCTGGCTCATCAATAAAAATACTTTTTACAGAAAATAATTGCTTGCACTCTGACGTCTCGGGTTCTAGTTTACACGTTTCGTCTTTATCGAATGAAAATTTTGATTTCATCAGTTCCAAGGCTTCGACTGAAATATTGATCAATTGAATTAATTATTATATCAATTTATTAAGGGGTAAGAGGTAGTCAGAGACATAAAAGAATGAGAATTTTCAATAATTTTTTTTTGCCAGTAAATTATTTTACTTTATAAAAGTAATATGGCATCATTATACAATGTTTCGACTCGACTTCAAGAAAATTTGAAAAAAAAAAAATTGATAATTTCAAAAGTTATGGCTGTTTGTGTTGACCCAGTTCTACCAAAAGGCCCTTGCGGTGACCATCATAAATCTTTGGAGATTCATCGAAAATCAATCGGACAAAAAAAAATAGTTTTGTTAATAGATAATTTAGTGTCTGATCAAAGCTTTTTTTTTTTTTTTTTTGAAAATTAACAAAATGACGGCCTCAGAAAATTTTTCTCTAGATTTTCGGGAAAAAACCAACAGCTAGGGCCAGTTTTTCAACCCGGGGTTTTAATTTAACCAGAGTTTGTAATGATAGCAACATATTTAATAAACATTGGAATAGTACTATTGCTATGGTTATAAACTCGGATAAAATAAAAACCCCGAGTTGAAAAACTGGCCTTTAATTGTTTATAAAAAATCGAAATTTTTGAAAAAAAAAATCCTTCGATTAGGCACTAATTTTTTATGTTTTTCAAAAGCTGTATAAATTTCATTGAAATCTAATGAGCGGTTTTCGAGTTACAGTGGTCACCAGTTCAGAAAACATAATTTTGAGAAAAATGCATTTAAAGTTTTACACTCTCGAGAGCTACCCGCTCTCGAGCATTCTGGAGTGCCTGAGCGCCTTTTGTTATTTGTCGAATAACTCAAAAAGTATTTGTCGGATTCACTTCAAATTTTCAGAGAATATTTTTAAGATATTATACTTAAAGAAAATGTAAAAAAAAATTGATTTTTTGAAAATTCTGACTACCCCTAACCCCTTAACTACTAATTACTAATTAATATCATGTAAATACTTACTATCAATCTTACTCAGAACAAAACCATTGACCTTGACAATATTTTCCATGAATAAAAAAATTGAAATATCGATATCCTCCGGGGAGTTAACAAAAAACTCGATATCCCAATACGCGACAAATGTCAGGAACCTAATCCCTATTTTGAGGAGATTAAAAAATTTATTTCGAAATTTAATCCAGTAGTAACCCTCAATTTTTCCTTTCCAACAGCTCAAACTATTAAAATTGCTCTTTTCATTGCGGATGAACTCTTCTTTCAACTCATCTGTGTCAATAGTAGCGCATCGGTGTAAGTTTTGAATAATAAATTCATAAAGCGCTTTGCAGCACCGGTTGCTGGAATTTTTCTCCTTAGGTAGTTTCAGGTGTCTAACTTTCAGAGCAACGTCAGCAAACCCAACCAGTTCATACATAAGATTGACCTTATTAACATTGCTAAGCGTAAAACTACGCAACTGTTTTAAATAAATTTCCAAGACACAGTCATCATCATTGAAGCTGTTGATGTCGTTGAACAGTTGCATCTCATCGCTCTGGTTGTACTTGATGAGTCGGCTGATGAAAAATTCGCTCTGGTTGAAGCTCTTCATCATTTCAGTCATTGAGATGAGCGACTTGAGCAACGGATGACTAAAAACCAGTTCCTTGAAAATATTTCCAGCTAAATTTAAGGCTCTTTCATGAGTAATTCCAACTGTTGACTGTACATTGGAAATTAATTTAGCAATTCCGCAAATTACACCGGTGAACTGGTGAGAACGTCTGACAAAGTGTATCGCCATGGCCAGCTCGTTAAAGAGCTCCAACATTTCGTGCTCGTGCTTTCGCTGTGACCAATCCATGTACCTGGTCATCTGGTTGATGAAGACTTGCTTCTGAGGACTCAGCTGACTTGTACCTGCAATGTATCCGGAAAGGTAAGTTGATTTTTCGGAAATTGTTACTAGTAAACCTAGACATCTTCGAGCTTCGATACCGCGCTCCTTTTCGTGCCATTCGGTAGCGTCGCACAGAGTCTGGTGGTTAGCTACATCGGTGTCGTAGAAGTCTGATAAATATACATCATTCATGTCACGTATGTCGTCATTGTTCATCGCGGATTTTATTGATTCCAGGACTGTTAAAATATTCAACAACAATTCTCTTGTTGTCGCCACTATCTGTAAAAAAATTAAATTTATTCATTTTTCATTTAATAAAAATATAATAATCTATATTATTAAGAGAATAAGAAAAATTTTGTGTCCAGGATAGTCATATGATAAAATTGGTTTTTTAGTAAAATTTAGTGTCATTGCAAAGGTATTGATTTGAATTTGTGCCTTTTCAAGGTTTCATTTCATTCTCACTGATAGTCAATTTATTATGATGACTGATGAGTATTAGGCTGCATTCGAAAATACTCTATCTCTAGATACATCATTAAGAAATTACCTTGTATCTTGTGAACTATTGACATTTTTAAAGATATAAGCTCATCCCGATGTTACACTCATCGAGACCTTTCATTTGAGTACCCACATCAATTTTTCATATATTTATATATATATTATATATGAAAAATATATCAAAATGCATGTGGGTACTCAAATGAAAGCTCTTGATGAGTGTAACATCAGGATGAGCTTATATCTTTAAAAATATCAATA